TTCCAGCATATCCCATGTCTTTCAGAATTTCAACAGTAAGTACAGGGTTGAGCAATGCCATTAGAGCCCACTGCAAAAAGATTCAGCAAACATTAATAAAGATCGCTAGATATATATATAAATTTTATTTAATTAAATGGTTATATACCTTTGATAAAAATCCTGTGACTGATAACTCTCCCAATACATTTACCTCTACAGATGGAGCTTCATTCCAGAGACTGTAATGTAATATTTGCAATATCAGTTTAGTGTAGACAAAGCTACTTTTGATGAACATTGCCTTTTTTTCTACAATTCACTTTCAAAATTAACATCTTATTAAACTTCAGGGACCATTAATATTAATCTGATATTAGTCTATATTAAGTATTAACTTCCCATATTACTCTATTAGATCTACCACTTTTGTTGTTTGTCATTTGTATATGGAGACGATAAAGATTGGTTCACTGATTACAGAATGGTATTTTAGTCTATACTAAGCTGTTTGAACTCTCCAATATATGTGATTAAAACAAATACAATGATTGTTATTAGAATTTGTATACAAACGATGGAAATTAATGTAACATTCTCTTGACCAGTTAAGCATAAAAGTTGACATTTTGCAATTTAAAAAGTTACTTTATTCAATATATCTTTTGTATTTATGCGTTTCACTTTCAAAATTAATATCTTATTAAACTTTGGGGACCATTAATATTAATTTGATATTAGTCTATATTAGTTCATTGTTTAATTTGTAAATAGTTTTATTTCGTGCTGTTGTATTTTGTATTTTGTTAATAAAAACTTAATCTGTTTAGGTTTAACCATATTTGGACCATTTTGCCCCTGATATTTACTCATATCTGTTGGGTTATTTTCTCATACCCATGCAGCCTTATAATGGTTTTCATTGCTCAAAAGTATGATGCTATTAGATGGAATTAAAAGTGCGGGGGAGGTTTGTTTTATTTTAGATTTTTTATAAAAAAAATTCATTTCACATATGTCAATCGGACTACCTGTATTCAACTTGTATTCAGGTAACTCATTTCCAACAAAGTTAATTTTTTGAGTTTGTTTTAGGATCGTTACGAAATAACTTGAGTTTGTTTTAGGACTATTTTACAGTATTTGGACCATTTTGCCCTTGATATTTGCTCATCATCTTTTTACTTGTGTTTTTGATATGGGTGATCAATTATCTATTTGACAGGAAAATGAGTGAAGATCATGTATAGGTAGAGGAGAGTGTGTAGTTGAAAGATAACAGTTAATATTGGGAAGTCACCAATGGGTGATTTCCACTTTTATTAGTAAAAAAAAACGTGAAAAATAAAAGTATGACGTTATTATGGGATCAAACTTTCTAAGACCGATGCTATTATGTGATACAAATGAAAGTATGCTGCTATTAAGGGAAAAAAATGCAGATATTATTTTTTTTTTAAATAAACCCGTGTAGTACACGGGTCTCACACCTAGTTGACATATACAAAAAAACACAGCAAAAGAGAAATAACAGAATAAACTACAAAAAATGGTCCCTGCACTTTTTTAATTTTAGCTTGTTTAGTCTAAATCCGAAACCTTTTTTTCAGATTTGGTCCTTATTTCAAGGTTTTGTGTCGACTTTGGTCCTTATTTCGAGTTTCATATGGATTTTGAATTTTTGATCCTTATTCCAAGAACCAAATTCGATATAAAACCTTAATATAAAAATAAAAAAAAATAATACAAAAAAAAAAAAAATTTAAAAAGACCATGACTGAACTAGAGTACCTTACTGGTTGGGTAGAAAAAAGATCTTCTAGCTCACGTGCATTAGAGGCCCCGTCCTGATTAAAAAACAAGCATACTATCAATTTATTCAAATATTTAAATATTACAAAAAAGATTCTAGAACATACACCACGAATGTCAAACAAGGAGAAAACTCTTCTAAGATGTTCCAGAGCTTCAGTTGTCAGCTCCACACTCTACAAAATATAAAAAATAACTGTATTATTTTATTGCTAGAATAAAAAATTTTGCATTTCAAAAATGTTTACCAAATATAAAATCACCTGATCAAGGGTTCTTTTAATTGGAGGGAGCAGTCGATCACAGCAGAACTTGATTTCATTGTCATATTCATTCTTTTTTAAGATGGTCCATGTAATTTCTGGATGATGATGTTCAATAAGCTCCGCATGGTTTGTGAGAAAGCCTCTTAATGTAAGCTTATTATCAATGACGGCTCCTTCTGGCATGATCTTTTCTACATAACTTTTCAAACACTGCACCTTTATATCTTCCATAGGTGTCCCAAAACATTTGGCCTGTTCAAAAAATAAAAAAGGATATAAATCGTTAAACAACCATAGAACATGCAGTAACATAAAATAAATAGACATAACCTGGAGGTCGTTAAACTCTTTGTCACTTAAACACCCATCTTTATCAGAATCAAAAAGAGTAAAGACTCCAATCAACGCCCTCAAACATCGAGGCTTTAAAGTTTTTGTTTCACGATCGTAAAGTGGTGGAGTGGGGAAAAGGACAGCTTTTTGTGCGTATAGAAAAATATCGGGTGTCTGAAAAAACAAAAACAATATAAACATTAGAAACTTTAAACACAGAGAAAAGAGAAAGTATCATGTTGAAACAAAAAAAAAAAAAAAAAAAAAAAAAAAAAAAAAAAAAAAAAAAAAACATGGGATCTTACTAGAGTACGCAGTTTGGCTGAACACTCCAAGTAATTTTCAAGCTGAGGATACCGTTGGAGAATGGGTAACATCAGCTTGGGCAAATGAATTGGTTGTTTTATATCCGCCTTACAAAACGCCACGACAACAGGAGCTTTTACCTGTATGTAAATGTTTAAAGATGATATTAGAGATTGCCTAATCAAGATAACAAATCTATTTTTGAAAACAAAAAAAATTAAAAGTCAATTGCCTTCTCAAAACATTATTTCAGTACAGGGGTGTTTTTAAAACCCAATAGATAGTTGGTTACCCACTTTTGACATTAAAGCTTAAAGTTACCTGTAAGTCTTGGAGATACTTTAGCCAAAATGTGCACAATCGATGATCAAGATCAAGTGTAGCAGGTTGATCATACGAACACGTAACCACAATCGCATCAGCTGTCTTGAGCTCCTCAGCAAGTTCATCTCTATGCTGCAAACTGGAATAAGAAAAAAAAAAAAAAAAAAAAAAAAACATACTTAATTGCTTTTGACCATGGAAATTATATCTTCTTGAAATTAAACAAGGGGGTGTTATTCAATAACCCAATACCTTGAAGACGTATCGATCACCGTTATAGGAACACAGTAAGGGAACATATCATCAGGTAACCGGATAGGGGCCAACACAGAAGGAACTTCGGGTAAAACCGGAGGATCATTTGCAGGAATAGCAGTGCTAATCAAGCTGGACTTACCGGTGCCATGGTCACCGGCAACAACAATCCGAAGGCCGGTCGTGGGGCTCGGCTTGGGTGCAGACATACCTCCACCCATTGACAGTGAAGATGAACAGGAAATTGGACTGCAATGAATAACCAAATTAGATTACTATAATATAAGCAAATTATAACACAAGCTATAAAAAAAAAACACATTATGCCCAAATCAGACAGGAAGCCATACCAGCAAACTATATCATTTTATCAAAGAAAAGCTACCCTTAAAGTCAAAAAAGAAAAAATCACAGAAGATTAAAAGTTAAACTCGTACCAGAAAAGTAGGGGAACCAAAATAAAATAACCCATCTATACCAAACTTTACAACTAAAGACAAAACCTAACTTGTTGTACCCAAAACAATTAAAAGCTCCAATACAAGAGCTTCATGATTCTTTCAACTATAAAAAGGGTACAACATGATTAAACTCCATGTATAAAAAGGGTAAAACATATCTAAAAAGCAAAAATCTTCTCTTCTCTTGTCAACTTTCACTTATTCCCCTCAAAAACCCCATTCAAAATTTTCCTCAAAAGAATGGTCAAAGAAATTGCATTCCTGCATCAGTAAGAGCACAAAAACAAGCAAATGGACTATGTTATTACTGTGACCAACCATATGATAGGAATCACAAATGTCAGTTCCAGAAAACTCAAATCTTTACAGTAGAGATTATGGGTTTAGATGAAGATGATAGTGGTAAAAACGAAGATGATATTGATATGATTCTTTTGGGTGATCAAGAACCATGTATTTCTGTGAATGCTTTGTCAGGAATTCAAGGATATCAAACAATGAGAGTTGTGGGGTTTGTAGGTAGAAAGCCTATACATATTCTCATCGATTCTGGAAGTACTCACAACTTCTTGGATTTAAACTCAGCTTAAAGACCAGGGTGCAAAGTTGAACAGATAGCAACCCAAAATGTAGGGGTAGCTGGGGAAAATCATCTTCATTGTCAACACATTTGCAAAAAGTTTACTTGGATGATACAATCTAAGGAATTCATTACGGATACGTTGCTTATACCATTAGGTGGTCATGATATGGTTTTAGGGCTCGAATTATTAGGGCCTATACAATGGGATTTCAAGAAACTGATCATGAAATTTGAATGAGAAGGTGAAAGTATAGTTCTAAAAGGAGAGTCGCTTCATAAAATCAAGATATTACACGGAGAAGTTTCAGAAAAATTGGTGCAAAATGCAAGTCAATTGTGCCTGTTACAACTTCTAACAAAACAAGATGAAGAACACCGGAGATACGGAAGTAATGAAGGAAGCGAAAAAAAAATCAAATTTCTTCACCTTGTTTGTGAATCGTGATTTCAGAAAAAAATCGAAAAATATGTTGCTTACCTGCGCTACTGTGGAAGGCTGAGGAACACCGGCGGCAATGTTCGATGGCGTCGCCGGCCAGGAGTAAGGAGGCACCGAAAATTGCAGACGTGAGGAAGGAGGCGATAGTTGCTCCCTGTTCGCGTTTTTTTCTAAATGGACACAGGGGCAAATTAGGGCAGGGCTTGGGTCAGCAAGTGAAATAGGGTGGACCGACTAAATAGGGTGGACACAGTCTGACTGAATACTGGACTATACGCCTGACCGGTAAGAATGACCATTTTACCCTTTTATTTTATTTTTCTGTTTTATTTTTTTTGTGAGATAATTTTTTTTTGTTAAGTAACATTTACATTTATATTGTTATAAAATTCTAAAAAAAGAAAAAACAAAACATAAAGTACAATGTTATTTATTTGTTTAAAAAAGAACAAAAAAACCCAAAAAAGTACATTGCCATCTAATGTAGGTTTTAAAAAAAAAACTAACCAAAAAACTAAAGTACATTGCTATGTAGTGCATGTATAAAAAAAGAAAAAAAAATACATTGCATCTTTAAGAGCATGTTTCACCAATTTCTTTGCAAAAAACTAAAATACATCTTAATTCCATTTTAAATTCTTTTTTTTTCATATTTCATACTTGCGTCACAATTCCATCTTTAATAGTCTTTTTCACACCCTTCTCTTGCACCATCAGAACCTATTATAATAAAAAAAATGTTATGTGATAGGTTTTATAATAATAAATACATGCAATTTATGATTTACATCAAAGTATAGCCAAGAGATATAAATAGGGCCACAAAACAATTCAATACATTATATGAAAAGGTCCTAAAAGTTTGATCAACTTGGAAGCCTTATCTAGAATTATATGACACCAAAATGCGATGAATCTAGTGCTATTTTAAATTAAATGAAGCAATCGTGACTTCACGTTTCTTGATATTGAAACTTTTATAGGCAAAATAGGCAAATAATCATTCATTTTCATCAAATTCTTGTTTTTGGCTCCATACTTGAATCTAGTTGAAATTATCAATTTTCCTGATTTGGGATCACCAACCCCAAAACCCCAAGAGTTTCATCAATAACAAACGATAATATGAAAAATATCCAACTGAAAACATAAAACAACTAACTAATAATCGAGCACAAAAAAACTCAGTCAAAACAAAAAAGCAGCAAAAAAAAAAGTTATTTACCTGAATCGAGAGGGGAAGGATCAAAGAAGAGAGAACGAGAAAGGGTATGAAGCTTGATCGGCGCTGGCGAGAGGTGGAGGCTGGCGGATCTGCTTGAGACGGTGGCTTCGGAGTGGTGGGAAGGAAGAACTGCGTCAAGAACCCTGTGTGGAAGAATAAAGGGAGAACAACAATAGATGAAGAGATGCGTTCTTTTTATCAGGGCATATCAGTCTTTTTTTTGGTCAGCTACTTTTAAAACATGGACTGGGTAAGTAGATGGGTCAGTAGATGTTGACCGAATCAGCCCATTTTCGTTTTTATCAAACAGACCGATCGGACCCGGTCAGCTCAATATCAAACAAGGCCTCACTAACATCAAGTCGGCCACATTTGAAGTTCATCAAATTAAAAATATTAAATTTCCCTTCTTCATACTTTTTTTATGTTTTTTTCTATTTATTTTAAAGTTTTATTAAAAATCTCTCTCTCTTTCTCATTAATACCATATCATAAGAACCCATCTCATATAAATATTTGGGTTCATATTTAAGATACACACGTCTCTTTGTAACACCCCAATAATACAAAATCAATTGCCAATAAATCCAAAAATGCAAAAATTAGAACCATGATTTACCACATCTCTTTTTAAACTCAGAAAGCCAAATCAAAACCATGATTTACCAAGAACCTTATCAACACATCTTCTGGTTAGAAACGAAATTGGTCGCTTTCTCCATATATTTTCCCAACCTCCTCGCACTTTCTCTAATCGACAACAATCCCTGTAGCTCTTTTTTCGCTTTGTGTTCCATCTCTTCCTCGAACCTTCTGAACTTCTCCATCGCGCTTTCCATGGCGGAATCGAGGTAATCTTCCGCCTCTTTCATCGAATCCTCACCCGTTACCACTTCTGTCCCGTGTTCAAGCTCCATCGCTGCCCATGATTTGTATGATTCGAGCTCAAATAGTTGATGGATTTATAAATAACAAAATTCATATTTTTGTTTGAAAACAAAAAAAAACCTTGAGTTCGCATACACCCTAAATGATCTACGTTCTCACTATGATATGCAAACAACAATTTGAATTTAAGAACCCTAAAGCACATAGCTATTTTCAATTTAGGAGAGTAGATAATAAAAAACATACCTTTAGTTTATTATTGTAAATGAACTAGAAATCATGTGTTTCTCTCTCTGCTCTTGTGACCGCAGCTCACATCTGATTCATCTGATCAGCAGTGTCCAGAGCCTGGTTACCAATATCTCGTGTACGCCTCACTATGACCGAAAGTGCTCGGTCGGCTGGTCCACCATTACTAAGATCATAGAACCTTCTCTCCATACCAAACGGGGGTCGTCCCTGCTGCCTGCTCCATCTCCAAATATCATGAGCCCCATGGAGGCGTAGGGTCATTGGGGCCAATCAGTATGCGGGCACCCTCGCTGGATATTGTGGGTTGATGACCTCGGACTCTGCGTCCGAGTCACCGTCATCAGTGTCACGGGGCTCCTCTTCCTCGAAATCCACCACTGGCTCAGCAGGTCCATCTTCAATTTCCACTTCCTGTTCCTCCTCTGGGTCCTCCTCGGGATCTTCCTCGGGGTCCTCCTCTGGGTCAAGCCACCCTGCGTTCCCCTGATTGGGGAAGTAGGGGTCTCCTGGCAAATGGAATCCAGCCATGTCGACTGCACAAAATGTATAAATACCAGAGATAAATAACACACCAATTTTTAATTGTTTAAATTTGGTTCTCTAATCTCTTTGGATAATTAGGTGGTAAGTTTTTGATTCATTGACCATCATGATTACTCCCGAACACATGTTGGTCGTATTTTGAATAAATGTAGTTGATCATGCTACATTTACCCCCAATACGACTACATAATTGTCCGGGTTTAACCGCGATGTTCAAATCCTCCAAAGACTTTTACTGTTTCTTATTATGTTATTACCCTAAAATTGCACACATAGGTATGGATTTTTATTTTGTTCAGAGTATTTTAGTCTCAATGTATTTATTTATAGTTGCATATCTTGTATGACTAGATATGTCAGTTCACTATAAACATTGCTCTGATAAAAATTTGCCCCCCCCCCCCCCGAACCGAAATAAATCGGCGGAAACGTCCGGGGGTTTGGGTGACTTCGTCTTGGAATATCATCACACTGAATATAAATGAAACATGACAAACACCATCATCATACATACCAAATACAACCATCAGTGTTTACATCAAGTATTGTATTATATATTACATGCCCAAATAGTTAATGTATGATGATACAAAATATGACAATTTCCACATGTTCCGGTCGACCTTTCTGCTTAACGATTCCCTAAGAATACAAGTTAATTTGAAAACGTCAACACATATAATGTTGGTGAGTTCATAAGCATGTTTGAGTAAAATTTTTTGTATTACTTTGTAAACACCAGAAATCCGATATTTTCTGAAAAACGGTTTGAAATGTTTGTGTACGATCTTGTATTAATGCATGTGTGTTAATGTTTGAAAATGTATAAAGTGAATGATCCCAGAAAATCCGATATTTGTTGTTGTAAGTAGAAGGCATTGTATAGTTGTATGTTTTTCCCAGACAATCCGATATTATCTGTTTATAAAACGTTGTGGTCTTAACACCCTAAGACTGAGTACCAGTGTATGTATGTTACCGTGTTACCAAACTGTAAATGTATTCCGTAAATTTTATAATGGAGTTAATTTCTCTGTGAGTTCGTGATAACCATACTTGATATGACTGATCTGCCTGTCATGACGTTTTTCAGGCGCCGACTTGTTTAAAGTAAGGTTTGTCGCCCTAGACTGGCCTAGTCTAACTGTAGCGAACAGCTCAGGCGTGGGGTGTCAACCCCGTATAGATCTATACACAAACTCCCGCTCTCCCTCCAGAAGACTCTGGTTATAACTACATGACTTAAGGTTGTACGCTAGATAGGTACAGATGAATACGTGTCTCACAAGAAACTTAACTAAATTTACGCGAATATTGTATCACACTATTTAACATAGTAAATAATGTTTTTCCGAATATGTTGTATGTATACAAGGCCCAAAGTGTATGTATGTTTATGTACAAAGTCACAAGCATGTAAATGGACTACAAGGGCCCAAATAAACATGTAATGTAAGTTCCAGGTCCAATAGCATGAAAAAGGACAACTAAGGCCCACTAAACATGTATTGTATATATTCCAGGCCCAATAAGCATGCAAAAGGACAACTAAGTCTCACTAAACATGTATTGTATATATTCCAGGCCCAATAAGCATGCAAAAGGACAACTAAGGCCCACTAAGCATGTAATGTATATTCCAGGCCCAATAAGCATGCAAAAGGACAACTAAGGCTCACTAAGCATGTAATGTATATTCCAGGCCCAATAAGCATGCAAAAGGACAACTAAGGCCCACTAAGCATGTAATGTATATTTCAGGCCCAATAAGCATGCAAAAGGCCAATGGATGCCAACTAAGCATGTATTGTATGTTTCAGGCCCAATAAAAGTGAGTTTAACGTATTTGACTCGTTTGTTATTGTAATGTTCGTTCTTGTTCAATAGTTTTCCAAAATGACATAAAAATGGCCACTTTTGTAATATTGACCTTTTTGGTCTATTAGACTAAAAATTTACAATTTAGGCATATTTTTGGTAAAATTGACTTTTTAGGTCCCTTAAGACCAAAAGTTTACATTTAAGACTACTTTCAAATAAAATAACATTTTTAACCAACTTTTGTCAAAAATATCATTTTAGCCCAAATTTTATACAATATACATTCTCGGCTTAGTTTTATTTAAATTTACATTTTTGGTCCAAATGTACCAAAAATTTACCTTTTCGGCCCAAGTACATAGAAATGTGCCTTTTCGGCCCAATTTTAGTGAAATTGACGTTTTCGGCCCGAGTGTATGAAATTTTACATTTTCGGCCCAAAAACATACAATTTATCCTTTTTGACCCAAGTTTGATAAAATTATCATTTTCAGCCCTTATAACCGAAAAATAACATTTGTGGCTCAATTTTGTTTAAAATGACACTTAAGCCCACAAAAGTCCAAAAATTTACAAACTTAGCCCATATAACCGTGAAAGCCCAATATGAGGCCCATTTGTGAAAATTTACACTTTTAGCCCTTTTAAAATCATAAATACCCTAAAGATCCATATTTATTCAAAATAAGTCCTTTTTGGTCCCTTCAAAACCGTGAGTTATATAATAACTTCACATTTTTTTTTGTCATTTTTTTTGCCCTCTTATGCGATTTTCTTTCAAAACCGTGAGTTATATAATAACTTCACTTTTTTTTGTCATTTTTTTTGCCCTCTTATGCGATTTTCTTAGTTTTAAACAACCTTGTAATGTTTTAAACCTTTTATTTGCATAATAAGTTGTATCAAGTGTTATGTTCTACAAATATCATCATATTTTAGCATATTTTCGAGTTTATGAAGTTTACAACACATAATCACAACATATATCATGAAAAACACACATAATCATGCATATACACATAGATCTACACAAACCAACTTGTATTCTCCCCTAAAACATAGTAAAAAACGAAAATAGTGGGTATGAACTCACTTTGGTGTGTTGGATTCGGTTTTGATGAAGATTTTGGAGGAGATTTCGGCCTAGATGCTTCCTTGAGATGAGTTTTCAAGCTTATGGGTTTCAAGAATGGATGGTTTTTGATGAAGTATTATTGGACTCACACACTAGCACTCACGAATTTGGAGAGGGAAAAGTGAGAATTTCTTGAGAGCTTAGAGAGAATTTTTGTGTGTTGAAGTTTGGATGATGTGTAGAGAATGGAGAAGGGCCGAGGGTAAGAAGAGAAGAAGAAAAAGAGTGTAATGGGTATTACATGGAGGATTAGGGAACTAATCCTAGAAGTATGTGATGTAATTAGCTTGGAAATCCAATAAATAAAAGTGAGGTGTCATCCTCTAACTAATCCCATAACATTTTCTTTCTATATATATATATATATATATATATATATATATATATATATATATATATCCTCTAACTAATCCCATAAATTTTCTTTCTTCTATATTATATCTTATATATATATATATATATATATATAACCGAAAATGGAGATAGGAGGGAAAGAAATTTGGATATTGGGCTAGTTTTGATAATACTCGAAATTATAAGGCCCATTATGAAAGTTTTCGGCCCTTTGGGCCCATATGAGGGGTTTACGGCCCAAAAATGATAAAGAAATGGGTTTACGGCCCAATAATGTTCAAGAAAGTTGTTTACGGACCAATAAGGCCCATGAAAATGTTGTGGGACATTTTAGGCCCAATATAGCCCAAAATGCTATAACTTAATGAATGTGGGTCCAACTGGAGCCCAAATAGGGTTCCTTGACCCAAAATAACCAAAATGAGAGTTTACTGGCCCATTAGGCCCAATAAGAGGATCCTGGTCCATTCTGAGTTTGAACCGGGACATTAGGGTTACAAACCCACAATTGAATGTGTGAATTGTATTGAATTAGGTTTTGGACTTCACGAGTGAGTTTTGATTCAAATGATTGTTTTTGGAATGAGCATTTGTACATAACATCAACTTAGATTACAAGTTACACAAGAGTTGATTACATGAAGACAGAATTTCCTAGCCAAAAATGCTAGTTGTGACATCATCCCCCCGTTAGAGGGAATTTCGTCCCGAAATTCTTTAGAAAGATAGAACTATGAACGAGAGAATAGGTTGTTGGATTAGTGTCTAAGCCCGTAACTATATTTGGTATGTACTTGACCCGGTTGTGCATGGTCCTTTTGGGTTGCCTTCACCAAAGCAACTTGACAAGGTAATTTAAGGAGAGAGAGGATATTATGATTTATTAATATCTTATAAGAATGATATATTAAAAGAGAAATCATA